TGTCTTGGTTAAAATGGTTGCTTGGCCTGCTTTTGATACAAATGTTTCAATTCAGGTACTATCTATGTACTAGCAAACTTTTAAGCTGCTACTCATAGACTCCATTTTAAATCTCTAAGCATGGAAAAAGCACATCATCTTTTAAACAGACCATGCAATGCTTTCTCCCCTAGCATTTTACAAACACCAAATTCTAACTTCCTGCCTCTTGATCCATTAGTACTCCAACTTCTCAACACCTCCCTCTTTAAGAAAAAAATGGAACCATCATTATGAAAAGATGGTTTCATTTTTTTCTTCTAAAACCTTAACTCCATGATATTACGAGATCCATAGCTCATTTATCTAGGGTTGTACATTTCATACTAGTTGTATATATGTATAAAATTAACATTGAACACTATTGTTTCTATCTTATATAAACATTTTTCTTTTAAACTCGTAATAAAGCATCTGTGATAATATTTTCATGACTCACAACACATACAACCCTGTAAATTAAATGTTTGCTACATGAGACTCCAACAAAATAATCTGGTGTTCTTGTCCTTCAATTTTTCCAGAAATTTCAAAGGATTGTGATTGGTTTACACAACTGTCTCTTATGCATTGTTTGCAACGTAAACATTAAAGTGTTGTAAGGCCATTACCAAACTCAATAACTCTTTTTCAATGGTTGAATCTTTTTTTTTGGTGGATATTGAGTTTTTTGAAAAATAACCGATTGGCATTTCAATTTCACAATCATTCTCCTATAACAATACAGCTTCAACACCTACATTGCTTGCGTTGATGGTGACTTTAAAGAATTTCAAAAAATTTGGCATGGCTAAAACCAGTGCGGTGGTTAACACTGCTTTTAAATTCTCAAATGCCTCCTGGCATTGTTCTGTTCATTGAAATTTCATGTTCTTTTTTAACAAATCCATCAACGATGCCACCATGCGATTAAAGTTTGGTACAAATTTCCTGTAGAATCTGCTGAATCCTAAAAATCGTGACACTCCTGTCTTTGAGGATGGTCTTAGAAATTCCTCGATGGCTTTCATCTTCATGTTCCGCCGTGTCATCCATCCGTGTCCAATGTTGTGTCCCAATAACATCACTTTCACCTTCGCAAATTCTGTTTTTGCCAAGTTTATGACCAACTTTACCTCCTGTAGTCTCTCAAAGAGCTCTGCCAAATGCTCCATGTGATCTTTCCACGAATAGCTAAAGATCACTAAGTTATCGATGTAGACAGCACAATTAGACAATCTTGCCACAACTCTGTTTGTAAGGCTTTGAAAAGTGGCTGGTGCATTTTCATTCCAAAGGGCATTACTTTAAATTGATAAGCCCATTTGGGGTTACAAAAGCAGAAACTTCTTTCGCTCTCTCCGACAAAGGTACTTGCCAGTAACTGCAAAGTAAGTCCAACTTTGTGATGTACGTGGCTTGTCTGACTTTCCAGACGGTCCTCCAGCCTTTGAATTGGTTATGAGTCTGATTTAGTCATGGTATTGACCTTCCGATAATCTACGCAGAATTGTTGAGTACCATCAGGTTTGGGAACCAACATGATTGGTGAACTCCACTCGCTTTGACTTGTCTCTATGATGCCTTCTTGGAGCATCGCTTCCTCTTCCTTCTGTACGTGTGCTGCTTTGAAAGGATTAAGCCTGTAGGGGTGTTGTTTTATTGGAACAGCATTCCCTATGTCAGCCTGTTGTATTATAGTGTTAGTCCTCCCCAATCTATTTCTACACAGGTCCTCATTGCACTGCAACAAGTCTTTCGATTCAGTTCTCTGTTCCTGGGACCGATAGCTTACTACCCTATCCCATTCTTTCAGGACTTCCTCGTTATTCAACTTATTCTGAGGCACATCAAAATCCAAATCACCTGGATTTGATTCCTCATTCTGAGTGGCAATTACTAATACCTGTTTCCCTGGTTCCCTGGTTCCCTTTCCCTGTCGTAGTGAGATTCAGCATGTTCACATGCCATACCTGATAAATATTTTCCTATCTAGCATCTTTACCAGATAATTCACCTGACTTAACTTCTTCTCAACCTGATAGGGATGACTAAACCTTGCTTTGAAGGGATCTCCTACCACTGATAACAGCACCAATACTTTATCCCCATGGGCAAATGTACAAATTTTAGATTTGTTATCTGCTTCTGGTTTCATTAGATGCTGTGCCGCCTTTAAATATTGTCTAGCTAATTCACCTACTCTGTTTAATCTTTCTCTCACCTCAGGTATATAAGCTGACTGTGAGATCTCTGACTTCAGACCTATCAACTTTTCCTTAATTAATTTTAAAGGCCCTCTTACTTCGTGTCTGAATATGAACTCACATGGAGTAAATTAAGTGATTCATTTGGAGCATCTCTAATAGCAAATTATATAAATGGGATACCTTTATCCCAATCATTTGGATAATCCTAGCAGTAAGCCATCAGCATGGTCTTTAGGATCTGATGTCACCTTTCCAATGCTCTCTGGGATTCAGGATGGTATGCATTTGATTTAAATTGTTTGATGCCTAAACTATCCATGTCGTGGAGGTGCCGGTGTTGGACTGGGGTGGACAAAGTCAGAAATCACACAACACCAGCTTACAGTCCAATAGATTTATTTGGAATCACACAAACTTTCGGAGTGCAGCCCCTTCATCCCTTGGGCTATAACTTGGTGTCGTGTGACTTCTGACTTAAACTACCCATGACTTCCTCAAATAATTTGGCAGCAAAATTGGACCCTTGGTCTGACTGAATCTCCCTGGGTAGACCATAATGGGTAACGAAAGCAAGCAACTCCTCCACAACTTTTTTTTGCCTTGACATTCCGTAATGGAATTGCCTCCGGAAATCTGGTAGACACATCCATTATGGTTAGCAAATACTAGTTCCCACTTTTGACTTTAGGGAGGGGACCTATGCAATCAATCATAACCCATGTAAAAGGTTCTTCAAATACAGGAATTAGCATCAAAGGCACTGGTTTTATTACTGCCTGTGGCTTTCCTACCATCTGACACATATGACAGGTACGGCAAAATTCAACCATATCATTATGTAATCCAGGCCAATAGAAATGCTTCTGTATCTTAACCTGAGTCTTCCTCACTCCTAGATGATAATTTGTGTGATACCCACAATACTTCCTGTCTGTATTCTCCGGCAACATAATCTGGTGAACTTCCGCTCATTTGTCATCGGCACTAACTTGCCAAGGTCTCCATTTCTGCTTTAAAATCTTGCCCTTGAGGTAATAGCATTCTGGAATACATTCTGATTCCTTTATCAAGTAGGCTTTAAAATCAACGAGTTACAATTTATTTATCAAACTCTTAACAGTGAACAAATTAACTAAACTATTAATAAACCAAATAAATCCTTTCTAACTACTAACTATTCCTAGGACACTAATGGGATGCTGTTCCAATAAATATAAGTCCCATATTTTAAAAAAAAAATTAGTCTCTCAAAAGTACAGCCAGGTTACATTTCTTCTGGAATTTTCTGTGCCTTCTCTGTTGATTCTTCTGTCAGGAATGTTAACCTTTCTGGTACCTTTGTTATTTTGATGGTGCTTCCTCTAAGACCTAGAGGACGCTGTGAGAGCTAGCCATTTTCTCTTGAGGGCTGAAGGCTGTTAACTCTGGTGGATGGCAGTTAGCTCTGGGGCTTTGTCCAACTGCCTCTTCCTTTTATATCCTTGATGACATAGCCACATTTCCTACAATACGATTGGTCCTATGTTGTCAAAACCAACAAATTTAAATTTAATTGGTTTTTGGTATCTAAGTGCCTGGTTCAAATTGTTTGGCTAAATTCAAAAGCTTGTTGTCTTGACAAAAACTGCTGCTTGGTCTACTAACTGTACAACCTTTCAATACAAATGTTTCAACTCAGGTGCTGTCTGTGTATTTGCAAATTTTCAAGCTGCTGTTCAAAGACATCCATTTTAAATCTCCAAGCATAGAAAAAGCACTTCATCTTTTTAAGGGACCATGCAGTGTTTTGCCCCTTAGCATCTTACAGACATTTTACAAATACCAAATTCTAACTTCCTGCCTCTTAAACCACAAGTATTCTACCCAACTTTGCAACAACATGCAACTAAAACCAAACAGTTTTACAGAATCAGATCCCATCAGACTTCAGGACTTGTGAAGGGGAGCAGGGGTCCAGAATGGTGACTGCTAGATTGAGACAGTGCTAGTAATGATTGGAGCCAGTATCAGAGGGAGAAGTGGTTAGCATTCAGACCCATCATGGGAACAACATTGGAGATCAGCGCTCCCTGGGACCCTGTGTTGATTTGGAATGAAGTGCTGTTTTTAGTGTGAACAGCTTCAAAAATGCGCCATTGCTTGCATGTTTTGATTCTAAACTCCTGTGCATTCCAATGATATATTTGTTATTTTCAAATTAGTTTAAAATGAGTTATTTCCATGAGTTTACAAAAGTAACACCATCGGAATAAAGGAAAAACACTCTTTCCCCAGATCTGTTAAATGGCTTTTATTTTTTCTCATTGACGATTATGCATTGGTTAAAGGTAAGAGCTATATATTAGAGATATGGAGAAGATTTTCAGATGCTGGAAATCTGGAACAAACTAGAAGATGCTGAAAGGACCCAGCAGCATCTGGAAAAACAAGTAACCTTTTGATTATAGACCTATAAGTAAGTTTTAATGAAGGGTTTATACCTGAGGTGGTAATTCTCTTCCTTCAGTGATAAACTTTTGTATTTCCAACAATTTGTATTTTCATTACATCTTGCTTTTGTGTTTTAATTTGAGGTCGTCCTGACATTTTTTTTCTCTCGTCAAAACATTGCTCGTAAGCAGTTTCAGTTTGTCAAGGGACTCCTGCCCCCTGACTAACGTATGGCTAATGAGAAGAGGTTAGGATAATAGTCACTGTAAAAGTGTGAGAGTGTTTTCCAACAGTGAATGGAAGCCATCAAACCTACCTGAGGTTGTTTTCATTCCCCTTTAGGTATGAACGCTCTGCAGTTACAAAACCTAGCAACCTTGGCAGCAGCTGCTGCCGCAGCTCAGAACACGGCCACCACCAACGCCAACCCTCTCACCGCGGCTACAGGGGCGCTTGGAGCACTGACAAGTCCAGGTAAACCTGTTCCACTCGCTCACTGTAAAATAAGATGTATTCAGTACGCGGCCGATCACCTGTGATGTTATTCCTTATGCGTTACACGTAAAATGTCATCAAGCGATTGAACGTGGCAGAGTGTTGCAATGGAGTACTGTGAGAGAGCTGCTCGGAGAGGCACAGCAAGTGTGGTTTGGTTTGTGGATAATTGGAGCCAGTCGGGAAATGGTGACAGAGGTCTCAGGAATGAGTACAATGACGGACAATATTGCACAAACAAACAATGTTAGGTCAACAGCGTGTGCATATCCCTCCTAATTTATACTTCCACAACATTAACAAAGATTTGGGAGAGATATTTATTGTGCAGGGTTTGTGCAATGTCACCTAAACTCAAATTAGTTTATATTCTTTCTGCTGCAAACGTACTCAGCAGGTGGCAGCATACTTGTGGTGTTATATATAAGGTCATTTCTATTTCAACTTGAGCTACTATTTTAAGGACAGCTCAAAACTCTTCTTTTTTTTCCTCACAAGCAAACAATTAGTAATGTTGGCACATGAGCCTGGGTGGTTTGAGCAATTTAGAGTTGTGATAAATTCACTGCAGGGTTTAGCAGACCCTTTCCATAGTCTGGTCATGTTTTATGTTCAAGCAGCTTCATTTTTATAGGCGAGTATCCACTGGGCAAAGTGACAAGACTGAAAAACTCTGGCAGCTCACACCTGATGGTTTAGGATTGAAACACAACCTTAGTTTAGTGGCCCTTCATTTTGGCATGAGTGCTTTCCCATGTGTCCTGCTGTTGCTGTTGGATCTGGATCAGAGCAGAACATCCAGACCCAGTGCAGTATCTCCAGGCTAAAAACTCAGATTGTACGTGGTGTGATTCTGAATTGTCGGAGATGAAAAAGAAACTAATGAGCCAAAGGAGAATACAGTTTACCATAAATCCAGGCTGAGATCAACCAAGCCCACTGTTCTCACCTCATCTACATGCTCTTCCCTTCCGTGACATTACTTCACAAGAAATAGGAGCAGGAGTAGACTATTCAACCCATCAAGGCTGCTCTGCCATTCAGTCTGATCATGACTGATCTCGTCCTCGCCTTCTGAGACACCAAAAATCTGTCTATTCCAGCCTTAAATGTATTCAGCAATAGGACATCTGTGACCCTCTGAGGAAGAGAATTGCAAAGATGCATAATCCTTTCACTTAAGACGTTTCTCCAAATTTTAGTCCAAAATAAGCACCTTTGTTCCTCCTCCCTGACTAGTGGAAATGATCGCTCAACGTCTAACATGGGTATATGAACAGGAAGGGTTTCGAGGGATATGGGCCAAATGCTGGCAAATGGTGCTAGATTTATTTAGGATATCTGGTCGGCATGGACAGATTGGACCGAAGGGTCTGTTTCTGTGCTGTATATCTTTATGTCACGATAACTCTAAGATGGCTGAAAGGTTCTGCCAGGAAATTAGTTGACAGGTTTCGAAATTTAGTTCTTTGTCTTCTGGTATATCTCATTGTCAGGCAAGGGCGACATTTAATGTAGAAAGTCACACAGGTGAGTGTATATTTCCAAATTACTGTTATAAATGTGAAAAATCTGTAGCTCATTCAAGTTTCCCATGAATGACTGCGTTTCTTGCATTATATCAAATGGGTCAGGAACACATCACAGTGGCTAGTCGGTTTACTACAGGCGTAATTAAATTCTCCACTTTAAATCAGGTATCAAAAATAGTGCTCTTGTAAAATATGAGATTGACTCATTTTAGAGTGGGCCCAGGAGATAGTTTCCTGAAATGGATGGGTCCCTATTGTGGAATTAAGCTGTGGGGGGAAAAGAAATGAACTTGTTCAGAACATTTCTAATGACTTTTCTTAAATTATAATTTTTTTTCCATTACTTAATGAATTTCTGGCTAAGATTAGCAAGTAATCTGCAAAGTGATAACTGCTTGTACTGAATTACTATTTTAAATCTCACTGCGCAAGTGATCAAATCATTTGCCAGTGGCGTAATTTGATGTTTCATTGTGCACAACTTGATAAATTGCCATTTGAAGCATGTGAAATAGTGGCACCAATTTCATTTCATCACAGGCAGGCCCTTTAAGTTTTCCAATGCAGGATATGGTAGGGTACATTTTTAAAAGGATGGTGGTACCAGGTCAGCACGTTGGAAAATCCTAATCCAAAATGTTGTTGCAGATGCACCCAGGAATTTTTGGTCACTTGTGGGACCCGTTGCTTGAGCTCACTGCTGTTAAGACTGCCTGCTCTGGAGCAATGTTTCTTGTTCCAGCCCATTCCAGAGCCCTGAGTGCAGAATGATGTATATTTTTTTTAATTTTGTGTCAAACCTGTATCCCCACACAAAATGGTCAGAAATGGATGGCATGGTGGCTCAGTGGTCAGCACTGCTGCCTCACAGCCAGGGGCCCGGGTTCGATTCCACCCTCGCCGACTGTCTATGTGGAGTTTGCACATTCTCCCTGTGCCTGTGTGAGTTTCCTCCGGCAGTCCAAGCACGTGCAGGTTAGGTGGATTGACCATACTAAATTGTCTATAGTGGCCAGGGATGTCAAGTTAGGTTGATTAGCCATGGAAAATGTGAATTTACAGGGATACAGTAGTGGGGGTGGGTTTGGATGGGATGCTGTTTGGAGGGTCGGTGCAGATTCAATGGGCCTAATAACCGCCTCCTGCACTGTAGGGATTCTGTGAATTCTATAAGAAAATCTGATTCACATCATAGATACTCAGTACTAAAGTGATGACACAGCGTTAGCACTGGAGCCTCCGAGTTAGAATGTTGGGGGTTCAAGTCCTGCTTTCGAGGCTTGAGTGTAACCGTCGAGGTTAACTCTCCAGTGCAGTACTACAGGAGTGTCTTTCACATGAAACATTAATCTAAGGGCTTGTCTACTGTCTCAGGTGGATGCAGAAGATTCCATCATTTTGCAGAAGAGCAAGGGAGCTGTCCATGGTGTACTGGCCAATATTAATCCATTAATAAATGACTCTTCAGATCTGATCCTGCTGACATTACTGTTTGTTGGCACCTACATGTTTGCAAATTATCTGCCACCATTACAACAATTTAACACTCCACAAGTGCTTCATTTGCTGTAAAATGCTCTGGGACATCCTGAGGTCACAGAAGGCACTAACTGAACGAAAAACTTCAATCTCTGCTCAATCCTATTTCCCGTTCCACCTTCTATCCATTCCTGGAATCTTGTACTTGCAATTTATCTTCTGCTTTGGCAGCATTTCCACCTCCGATTGGTCAGTTTAAACCTTTGCTGTTGGCTAATGATCTTGTGAATGCGCAAGAGGTCCGAGGTTAGCCTTTTTGACTTAAAGGAATAAAGCCCAAGTACAATTTGTGTGGGTTTTCTCCTGTATGAGGTGGTCAGTGCAGGAAAATGCAGCTGTTTTGTTTTTGAATTTGCAATGCTGAGGCTGACTTGTGCCCCACCCAAGAATTACTTCATTGTCGAACCTGAAGCTGCCTGGTACTTTGCCGATCCAATTCCACACAGAGGAGCCACTGATCGTCAGTGAGCCAGTGGGTTGTTAATAGTTCTTCCAGACGAGCCATAATCCAGCAGCCTTTCAATGCACAGTGCAAGCTTATAGTCGCCAGCACATGGGAGCTCCTCAGACAGATCTAGTACTGGAGTCTTTCAGTGATTGAATCCTGGACTATCAGTTCTCAGGTCTGCTTAAACCAAAGAAACCTGTACTGCAGGCTGATGATAATGCTTTTGTGTTTATCAGTATTGTGATCCCAAGTTAATCTAAAGAAGCCAATTGTAGATAAGTCAGTGTAACACTAGGTCTGATTTTAAGAAGATCATTGCAGATAAAGGATTTGAATGAAGCCTTAACAAAGAATACAGGGTGTGTGCTGTGCATTTAAAGTGGCATAACTATGGGCCTATTTTACTTAAATGTCTCCTGCAAATACTCAGGGTTTTGAATTCAACAATTTGATGTTCATTCATGCCTTAAATTAAAATTTTAGTTGCGTAAGTGGTCAATATTAACATCTTTCCCTTTTGCTTTTGGGTGCGGTGAGATTGATTGATTCAGTCCCATTCCTTGACATTTCTCAACTCTGGTGGCTATTTCAGGGAAACTCCTACTCTCTCCTGTCCACCTAGTTTGAATTTTACTTTACATGCTGCTGCTCACCAATAGACCCAAACATCAAAGTAATATGGCTGCTTAAACAATCAAGAACAGCATGTTACTATAGATTTGCTCTTAAAATTACCACTTTACATTAAGCTTAAATAATGAGTACTTTGCCTGATGTCGCTTGTGATGCTCCTTGGATCACAATGGGAGGTGTTATCGACATGCAATCAATTAACGCATAATCCTCAATCACAGAAGCTCAGTTTTGCTGCCAAGATTGTTTGGTTCCAGACATCAATGTACCTTTTGGGTCCGAAGACAGACACAAGAATTTCAGAGGAAAGGGGACAGTGACATTGAGGCAATATTTGTATGAACTGACGACAAAATGCTAGAAATGCTGATCAGATTGGGTCTGGCTGCATCCCGACAAAACATAAACAAAAGCATGTTGGCTTTGCTTCCTTGAAAATATGCTCCAATTTGTGTCAGATGTTAACACGTTAGTGCCATACTCAGAACAGTGCTGAGAGCATGCTACTTTGGTGGAGTTCACATTCTATAGGTGAATCATTAAATTGAGAGATCTAATACCAAACAATTTGTTCGGCTATTCAAAACAAGGACACCATGGCCAATGTCCCTTACTCAAATTCATACTCTCAACTCTTCAAGTTCTTTCGGCAGCACCTTCCAAACCTGCAACCTCGAGCACCCATAAATACAGGGGTAGAATATACATAGGAACACTGCCACCTGCAAGTTCCCCTCCACACACCATCATGACTTAGAAATATCTCACTGCTCCTGGACCAAAATCCTGGAACTTCTTCCTTAACAGCCATGTGACACCTTGAGGAC